TATAAGGAGATTCTAGATAAAAATTTGATTCTAGATGAATTAGTCAAATCTCAGAGAAAAGTAGACCTCTTTTTATTAATTCAAATTATAAAATTGCTATATTATTATATTATGATCTTAATCATAAATTTTTTATATTCAAAACGTAATAATAATGAATTCTTAGTCATAAAATATTTATATATTATACTATTTTTAATAAAAATATTGCATTTGCACTAAGAATTCGTGATCTGCATCGGGCCTAATTTTTCAAGCCCGGCCCTGCCCGAAATTATTTTAAAAAAATTTGCCGGCCCAAACCCCAAATTTTTTTTTAAAAGTTTTGTCGGCCTGGCCCGAATTTATTTAAATATAAATATTTTTTAATAATTACTCACAATAAAATATATATGTTATATGGCGTCTAGTTTTTATAAATAAAATCAAATATTTTTATTTTACATAAAAAATTTAACCTAAAATTGTTATATTTAGATATATTTTAAAAATTTCCAAGGCCCGACCCAACCCGGCCCCAATTTTTTTAAAAAATATTAGGCCCGACCCAGCCCAACGATTTTCCTACTTTTGCGGATCTCTAATAAGAATTATTTATGTTTTATTAATATACTCATTTGTATTAATTATATTATAATTGTTAAATTAGATTTTTTTAAATACCGCACAAGAATTACTCATATTTTATTGTAATTCTATTTTTTTTAAATATAGTTATTTAGAATAAATTTTTAATATAATCTACATAAAATTTATACATTTTGAAACTTATTTTATTGATAAATAATAAATAAAATCTATAATGAAATTCTCTGCAAAATTTTGTTATATGCAAAAATTTAATTAAAATCATTATTTTAACATAGAATCAAATATATTGAGTGATCATAAAAAAAACAGGAGGTTTGGGGGCGATTTTATTCTTCTTTCTACACCGAATGGATTGAATCAACTTACAATTGACTAAACATTGATAAAATTTTCAGAATAATGCTTCCAGTCGCGTAATAATCATAAATTTGGCCAAAATTTTGTTACTAATATATTTTTCATTTATGCTGGCTACTATAATGGTTAGACACCAATAAAGCACAAAATTGGCAAATTTTTAAAATGCGGTTTGGGGGCAAAGCCCCCAAAAAAAATTTTAAAACTCTTCCCCATGGATCAATCCTGGCTACGCCACTGCCTGAGATACTCTAAAAAAATCTGAAAAAAATAAGTTTAAAAAAGAAAATAAACGATACATGTGATCACAATGCTGCTTATTTATTGGGTCCCCAATATCAAGGTAAAGGGATCATCTTACTAGTAGAATTCAATGAAATATGTGATATAATACAAAAATTTGTCTTTTTACAAAATGTTAATTATCAAAATATTTCAAGTTATATCATAAATTTCAAAAGTAAAAGGTTAATAGCAAATTATGTGGAAAGCAGTATCAGACACAATCAGATTCCGGTCTCAAGTTAGTTGAATGGGCTTTGCTCACCATGCTCTTAATAGAAGTAACATTTTACTAGTAATTCTTATTCCTACTTCTTCATAAAGAAATTGATCGATTTATTCTTACTAAAACAGAATTCAATTGAAGATCTCTACTACAGGAAAATTGATTAAAAAATATTGAAAATGATAATATGAATCAGGAACAAGACTCTGCCATGGAAAGCGAAACATTAGTTATTAAATGATAATGAATTTAAAAAATATTATAAAATTAATATTATAGATTCATTTTACTATTATATACAAAAAAGGGTAATATTGTCATTATATCGGTAAATTGAATTTGATCGATCATAATACTGATTTTATATAATATAATGTATATTTTATATGAAATGCCTCTATATATAAGCTATTAAAAAATATAAAAAATTTCGCCTTAAATTCTCGCAAATTTTTTATACCCTACTACCTACATTTTTTAGAATAATAGAGTGCCCAAGCCACCTTTTAAATATTCGTGCTAATTTAACAAAGAGAAGGGTTTTTATTATTTTCGTGTATTTATAATTTATATAAAATGAATATTTAACAATTTATTCTCCTTCTTTATCATTATAAATTTATTCTTAAATGATATAGTTTATTCATAAATCACTGGTTATAACCTAAAATAACATTAACAAACAAATTAATTTATCTTCCTTGAACAATTATATCATACTAGCTGGCTAACCCGTCACAAATGACGGGAATCAAAAATAGCGGAGAATCATAAATAGAGCTGAATCCTAAATAGTAATAAATAATCAATGGCGGCGAATCACAAATGGCAATAAACCAAAAATGGTGGTAAATTATAAATGGCATATATCTCAAATGTTTATAAATACTAAAAGAAGTTTAATAAAAAAATATTTGATTATAAATACTGAAGAGACGGGGCTTCAGTTAAGGTTAGACTGGTAGGGGGTTCGACTTGCTGAGATCTAGTAAGTGTCATTTTAAGTTATAATAAATAATGTACTCGTAAAAACTAATTCAAATTTTATTAAAAAGAATTTATTAAACATACAAAATTTTATGTATCAAAAAAAAAATCTATTAAAATTACAAATTACAATTTAATGTTGAAAATAATTATTTTAACCTCTCAATACTCCGGTGAAAAAAATGACGTTAGTACACTGGTGGGGTTTAATAGACCCCAATTTCAAATGTATATATCTCCTAGTGTATTTAATATTTTGGTTTAATATTTGGATAAAAGATAGAATAAACCTCAAACTTGATAAAATATTTATTTTAATTTATTATGCTTAGATTAAAAATAATGAGGATAATTATAATTTGTGCCAAAATTTTCTAAAAAAAGTCTTACTTTTATTAAATTTTAAATATAAAAAATAATTTATCTATCACATTATCATTATAATTGATAATTTTTATTTATTCTTCAATATAAAACAAGATTTACACTAATACATGGAAAAATAAAAAAAATATAGGACATTGAAATATGTTAATTTTGACTTATCACATAAAGCATTAATAAGCTCTAAACATAATTTTTTCCCCATATATGATAAAAAAAAATTAGTTTTCGCATCTTTGCTGCTAGGACACATACTGCACCTTCCTCGATTTATATTATGAACTTTGCCTAATATATTGCATATAGATTCCTTCAAAAGTCAGGACAATCTGATAATTTTTGGTGTACTTTTCAATATGGCTTAATAAGTTCCATTGATATTTTATATATGAAATTTCTTGTAAGTAAATATTTTTGTGTTTGCTATCTTATGTGAATTAATTGATATTATGTTTAGAAGTGTGTAAGTCCTGCTTAAAATTGTATAATTTTTTGTCATTCAGTACACCATATCTAACCTACCTTTAGTCATATTATAAAATATTATAATTTCAGAATTTCTTGTATCATTTGTAATAACATTTTTATTATGGTGGAAAGTTGATAGCATTATGACATCCTTTTTTTCTTTGGATATGATAATAATGTTATTTTTTCCAATCCAATTCAAATATATGAAAAATGATATTACATTTTACGTGATAAAAGCGTTTTTTCGCCCTCTGGTTGTGGGTACAACAGAGCTAAGAAATATAACATTTTAAATAAATTTTATTATATTTACTTTCAGAATATGTGAAAATCATAGTAAATGATAAAAATAATTTGCAAAATGAGATAATTATAAAAATTTTCAAAAAAATTACATAATACTCTGGTGGGGTCTCACAAACCCCAATCAATCACAAAATGTTTATATTTTAAAAATTATTCAGCCAAAATATATGAAATTAGGTATATAGATTCTGAGATATATTTGATGAAGCTACTGAAGATTCCAGATCATAATAAACCGTTTTTATGTAATATCAATTCTAGCAAGCCTGGGGACCACCGGTATATTGAAGGGGGTAAACAAAAAACAAAGTATATATTTAAGTATAAAAATTTGTCCTTTTATAGTGAAAATAAAACGCGCAACTATAAATTATAATAAAATTGGCGCAAAGTGAAAAAAAGAACGTTTTGCAAAAAGGAGTTGTGTTAGTTTTATCTTACATAATTAGGGATAAAACCTACCCCCTTTACTTTCCGGAACTCTAAGGACTCCGAAAGTAAGAAAAACCCCTAAGTAAAAGAAAACACAAAAACCATATGTTTTACTTATAATGTACTTAACTCAAAACAAAAGAAGAACTTTATTTAATTTTTATGTATTTGAAGACAAAACAAAAGAAGGGTAAAAAAGAAAACTATTTTTAATTGAAGTTTATAACAAATACAAACATGATTTTAAAAAATGTATTTTAAATATAAATGCCAGAAAAATTTCCGAAAAAAGTAATTTAAGTATTTAAATAAAAATACTTTGAAGAACCTTTTTTGAAAATTGATTTTTTTTTGATTACCATTAACATTAACATTTTTTTATTTATATTTCGTTAGATAATATAAAATAAAAAATGTGTAAAATATAATATGCTTATTATATAATATAGATTATATTGGAATCAAATATTCTCAATTTATTTATTATATTATTGCATAAATTTATTATCAGGTGGAATATAACTTTTAGTCATATACTGATTATAAGATAATTAATATCATAATGTTTAGTCATATAAAATTTACCCTTTATAATAAGTAAAAATAAATATCTATTTTCTGATTTTTTTTTGAAGTCAACGATTTAAAATACACGCAGATTTTAACATAATTCATATTTAGTAATATTTTAAGCAATTAATATCGTTTTTGAGTTAAACGTGAAGGTTTTACATGATTTTATTATATAGACATTTCCTCGAATTATATTGGTATAAAATAATCAAGACTATAAAATTATATATAATGTAAATTTACTATTTCATCATAAAGTTAACTCACTTAACCAGTGGACCCTCTCAAAATAAAAATTTTAATATTTAGGCTTAGGAATGGGCTTTTATAATGTAAAATATAAAAAAATTTACTAAAATAAAAATTGACATTTATGTAATTCAATTATTACATTGTATGAATTAAGTTGTAGTGGTAAAGAACTCGTGCGCCTCATATGTTTCTGGGCAATTGGTGATACTTTATATAATATTAATAATTAAATTGTTTAATTTAAATGTTTAAGGCATATTCATCGATCTAATTATTGTTATATTTTTCATTATCATTCTGTAGGAGTAAGGAGGGGAAGGGGGGGGGGGGGGGAGTAAGTTTAAGAAGGTTAAATCTTTTAATGATTAATGAGACCCGAATAAAAAATTATTTCTAAATAATTTTCCAGCATGTGTGTAAAAATTAAAATTTTCTAATAATTTGGCATGCCAGTTTTTTATATATAAATTAGCCTATTCTTTAAAAACAACTTCATGTTATATTTTTATCAGAGACCTGCAGGCCCGGCCCAAAGCCCGGGTCGTATTTTAATTATACCCGGACCGAGCCTGAAATTTTTTTTAAAAAACACCCGGACCTGGTCATGTATTTTAAAACCAAATATTTTAACTCGCCATTATTAGCTATGAAAATTAAAAATAAATTTAATATATTTTTTTTTAAAACCGTGCCGGGCCTGAAAATTTTTTTTTAAATAACAAATCACCGGGCCGGGCCGTGAAAATGGTATCTCCAGGTCTCTGATTTTTATTATTTTGAACAGATAAAATATTTTATTACCTTAAAATATTGGGGGAATGAGAAACAAAACATTAAATTATACCTTTGAAAGATTGGAATATTTGTTCATCGGTAGAAGAACTATTCTAAATTCATTATTTATATTAGAAATATTTAAAAAAGCCAAGAAAATAATTTATTCTTTATCTACTATTTAAAACTTGTTTGAATAGATAGTTTTTAACCCTAATTTGACTGTCTTTAAGCCTACATTTTAACCATGCGATTTCATTTTCCAGTGGCAAAACAATAGCTCTCAATTTATCGGTTTCTTCCTTGGCCTAAACATTTTATAATTTAGATATCATAAATTAATATTTAAAAATTGATTGCTTAAACCCAAATTGAATGTGTTAAACACTCTAATTTTTAATTGCCATTATATAAAGATAAATCATATAAAAGTTAGCTAGCGACACAATAAAAATCTAATTAGTACTGTAAAGTAACATTAATGAAGGTAACGTCGTTACCTACGGTGTTCCTTTTTTGAGGAAAAGGAATGTCATTCGTTACTTGTTTCTAAAGTTAACTAGTAACGGTGTTTCTTTTCTCAAGCCAACGATAAATGCAAGTTATTTTTAAAAATGGGAGAAAAGTATTATTTTATTATATTTTTTTTAAATTTTATAAATAATTTAAGTAAAATTCAGATCAACCACAAAATTCTTCATTTTAATTTTATTATATTTTTGCTGTTGAATTATATACAGTAAAAATTGTTAATCTAATTATTATTTAATCAATCAAGGTATGTTAATTTATATTCTTTAATATTATAATTATCTTGTTTCTTCAGATGGAAATGATTTAACTCTGCCCTGGCCCCAGCATGAAACATTATTTATACCAATAAATAAAATTAAAGTTTACACTTTGTGAGAGTAGATTGTGTGTAAATTCAAATATTAAGGATCTTAATGAAGATTCTTGTTCTTTCTTTTTTCTTTAAGTAAAATAAGATCATTCTTTAATATTTATAAATTCCTTCAATTAAAATTATTATTTATTAAATATAATACAACACTCCTATCCTCAGCGAAAGTTGTGTTGAGCTCTAAGCGCTCTTGTTTATACGATCAAAATTTTTAAAATCTTGCTAAAAATAAATAAAAAATTATTACAAAAGAACTTATCTTATAATATATTAATTTTAAATAATTTCATTTTTATTATCAAATAAATAAAAAATTATATATATAATATTTAGTATTTTAAAATAATGCGTTACTTTTTATGAATAACAAGTAACGCATTCCTTTATCCAGTAACTCGGTTCCTTTTTTCAAAAGTATTGGGTTTTTTTTAAATAGCGGTACAGAGTTGGACGATATCGAGAATACTTGTATCTAAGATACAACTTATATCTTTACTTAATATCTTTTTGACATGTTTAATAAGATACTAGTATCTGTATTTAAATCCTTAAATCTGAAAAGAATCTTGTATCTTTTTCATTTTCTTGACAAATGTTACAGAGTGTTTTTATATTTTTGTTTAAAAAAATTTACAAATCACTCTTTATTTTTGCCCGCCTTAATATTGGCAACTAAAACTTGAAAATTGACATTTCGCATTATGAAGATAAATAAAAATACTAAATTAAAATATTTTATATATAAATGACTCAATATCAATTTTATGTAATATTTTTTAATTTGTAAGATGATTTGCACTCATGGTAGTGAAGAAGAAGGTAGTGAAAGTAAAATATAATAAAATAAGTTCCCCTGATTTAAATCTCAATTTTAAAATTTTAGACGGAAAGTTTTAAAATAATTCAAATCAAAAAAGACAAAATACTGCTGAATGTCAAGCATGTTACAAAATGATGTTCGTTTTTTTGAAAATGATGACGAACGGCTTCCTTTTATTTTAAACTTAAAGGCATTCCTTATTTTTAACGAACGCATTCGTTTTTTGTTCGTTCAATTTTAGAAAATCTTTTTATAAAAATAATTAAATCCTGATTTTATTTTAAAAAAAGGGCTATTTTTTAATCAGCTGTTTCCATTATGATTTTTTTAATCAGCTGTTTTTTATGATTTTTTTTAAACAGCCACCATTTCTGTCCTATTGCATAGTTTATTAATTTGAATATTTTTATTTTATAGATTAGCATAAGCATGGATGTTGTTATTTTATCATTATCTTTATCTGATTCTGAATTCATTATGCTTATCAAATGTAAAATGTGTCCAAAAAGTATAATATTTCAAAATTTTCAGGTTCTAATTTAAAATTAAAGTACTTAATTGTAACATTTATTCTTTTATATAATATAACTAGTGTTATTTAATCGGCTTAGTCGACCCATTTAGTTGGCTTAATCAACCAATTTAGTCCACTATATCAAATTTTTGAGCCGAAACATCAACACTGTATAGTTGGGGTTAGTGTTATTAATTAGTCTAGTTCTTCAAACTACTTTAGATATCAGAGAAGATAAACAAAAGTAAAGTGACAAATATCTATATCGTTACTTTTTAATCATTTTTGAAATTTTTTGAAGCAACAGGGTAAAATATTAAATTGCAAATATGTTAAATTAAAATGAGAATGTACCATAGAGAAGTGACAATTGTCATAATCGTTATTTTTAATCTTTTTTGATTGCAACAGGGTAAAATTATAAGTTGTAAACATGTTAATTTAAATTGGGATGCATCATAGAAAAGTGACAATCGTCATACGTTATATTTAAACTTTTTAAAGTAAATCGGTAAAAATAAATAAAACGCCTAGCGACATTTTATCATGCGACATTTTGTCACGACGACACCTTATCACGGTGACACTTTATCATGACGACACTTTATTATGAAGATACTTTATCACGACGATCCTTTATCACCCAGTCATTTGAAAAAGCTACAGTTGAACAAGCGACATTTTATCATTATATACTTATATATATTTGAAAAGTTAAATTTAGATAATATCTAATTTTTTGACTATTTCGTTTAAATTAATTTTTTTGTATTTTTTTAATGAAAGAAATTAATATCTTAATTTTCATAAGTAAAATTTTTTTAACTTAATTATCATCTTATGTAAGGAAACAAGAGACATAAGCAATAAGAACATAGGCGTAGCTAAAGGGGGGGTACAAGGGGAAATTTCCCACCTCCCCTTCAGAAATTTATCACTTTTTGTGAATATCATTTTAAGCTAATAAAAAATATCCCCCTTAGTCCTCCATCCACTCCCTGACCCCCAAAAATTAATGCATATATCTTAAACAATAATTTGAAAGAAATAATGTAAAAGTAATATTTTTTATAAAACTATTCATTATAATTTATACATTTTTGGAAAAAAGCATTTATATATAAAAAAAGTGAACTAAAAATGCTTTTTTAGAAATGAAATATAAGCCAAAGATAAATCTTAAGACAAAAGTGAAATGGATTATAATTATTAATAATAGATCCAAAAATTACTAAATAATATAATATATCAAATATAATTTTTTATAAAGTGAGTAATTTTAATTTATTTATCTTAATAAAAGTAAAATATAATTATAAAACTATTGATAAAATTAAATCATAAATTAAATAAAAAAATTAAAGCACAATACAAACAGTGGAATATTATATGTCGCAGATTTACAGTATATCTAAATTTATCAATTATCATATGACAATCAAGTAATTTTTACCAATATAGAGAATTATATATTTTACAGAAAACTATAAAATATTGATGTAACATCAGAAAATATCTTTTAAAAACATTGTGGGATGAATAATATGAAGATTAAATTTTAATATCATTATTTATTTAAAATAAATAGATGGGTTAAATAATTGAATGCAAATTGTTACTATATTTATTATCAAGAGCATTGATTAGTTAAATTTGTTAAAATATTTACTGTAATATATTCTCTAACTGTCAAATATGTCGGTAAAAGTGGAATTTTACCTAGTATTTTGTAACTAATTCTATATAATAGAGGAATATCTATAATAAATAAATATCTAAAACTTGTTTGGAATATCATAGAAATTTTTTCCTATTTTTATTAAAAATTTAATAACAAAATAATACTATAATATGAATATACAAAACAAAATAATACTATAATATGCATATACAAAACAAAATAATACTATAATATGCATATACAAAACAAAATATTACAATAATAGAATACGGCGATTTTTATTTTTAAATTTTAATATAAATGAACTAAAAGATAAATTCTGCGTTATTCTTTTTTCATACGCCATTAATACTAAATTTTGTTTACGTTTATCCTTCATAGACTCTCTACTGCTCGATAAAACTCTCTTTAATGTAGAGAACGAGGACAGGAAGCCGTTGATATCCCAATGATTATCGCTGCTGAGTAGCATTTATATAATTCTTTAAATGCATGATTATATATTTTTTTATACATAATATGTAAGATATTTTCAAAATTATGATTTTCTTTAGCTTCCGAAGCTAGCAATCCTTTTGCTATCTTCATTTCATGATGCAGTGTTTCCATATTTAAGTTTAACAGGGATTTTAATGGGGCCATTTTATCTGATAAAAAATAATCAGGTTCAAGGGGGCATCTTCTGTAAATCGGTCTAAAAAAACGATCCACAAAGTTATCTAAAATTTCATAATATATCCTTTTTAAAGAACTCCAATTGGAGTCTTTTTCACAATCGAATTCTAGTTTGCTATCAACTAAAAAATCTTGGAAATTTCTAGGCGTTTTACGTACCCGTGTGGGGAGTAAGATTAAATTTTGATAAAAGTTTTTCAGCCTTAATCATAATCAAAGAAAAAAAAATTATCACTTCTTTTATTTTTTAATATATTGATAGTAGAATCAATACAATTTTTAGCATCCACTAGATTAATACCTATTGATTGTAGATACTTATTTAGTGGATCTATTGTAATTAATATCTCATAAATTATGATGGCTAATATAATTTAATTTATATTAATACATTGAGATAAAAGACCAGAGGCTTCGACTGAATCATGAATTGAAACCTCTGAATTAAGAGTTTTATTAGAAAAGTAAAATAATACTTCACCAATAGCCTCAAAATTCTCATAAATAATGCGAGATGTTTCCAAATGACCAGTCCACCTCTGGTCTAAAAATCTCTTAAGGGTGTGGCCTGTATATTTACAGGATACGTTAAAACGCTGAAAAAATTATACAATGCATTTGATAAATTAAAAAAATTAGAAATAATAACAATATTATTATACCAATTTTGAACCATAAGATGCAACTTGTGGTTGTAGCAATGTATAAAAGGAA